GTTTGTTTGGGGGTTGGTCTTTTTATAATTTGAAACCAAATCTTCCCCATCCCCCAGCTGTTAAAGCTTGGAAATAATGAAGTATTAACTCCTGACACTCTCCTGGAATTGGAGAAATTTAAAAGACCGATAACCTTTCTACTCAACTTTGTAAGTAGCTTTTCAGACTGAAATCTGCTGCTGGAGCTGCTCTTGTCTGCTGAGCCTGAGCCCCAGGCAGGTTTGTACAATAGGTTATGAACCCTCAGTAATAAGGATTTATAATGGGAATCCTGCTATATTCTTAATTATACTCCTGCTGCATGGTGTCATTATAGTGCACTAATGCCCTCCATATGGCAGATAGTGTGTGCTTGGTTCTGTGTGGTTTTATTTAATTACAGACATTTATTTGAGGAACTTCACTGCTCAGAGTCTGATGCCTGTGCAGGTGCACTGCAGGTCCTCCTCCTGGTGCTCAGGAATCACTGGTGATTTTTAAGCTACCAGTTTGGGAAGGGGCCACAGAGGAAGCAAAAAACATTGACCCACACAAGGTAGGGAAGCCCTGGTACAGGTTGCCCAGGGAAGCTGTGGCTGCCCCATCCCTGGAAGTGCCCAAGACCAGGCTAGACAGGGCTTGGAGCAACCTGGGATAGTGTCCCTGCCCATGGCAGGGAGTGGGAGTGGATGAGCTTTAAGGTCCCTTCCAACCCAAATTGCTTGAGGATTTTAATTCGCTCAGGGTGACCATGCTGTGTCCTTGGCAGTCCCTGATGCTGTGAGCAGAGACTGAGAACAAACTTTGGCATTTGCATTGATGCTGACTGTAAGGTGAGGTTTTGCGAAGCCACGTGCAGAAAGCTCCAGGAGCATCAAGTTGCCTCCAAGACTGGGTGAGTGTCACCCTGACAGTGATGGTCAGTCTGGTGCTGTCCAAACGAGGCTCCTGCCCTGTGTGTGGGCAGACAGCTCCTACCCTGTGTGTGTTGTGTGAAGCTCTTTATTCAGGGGACAAAAGCACTGGGGCTGCTTTAATGGCCCCCAGTCTCTCTCGATCGATTTATTGGCTTCAAACTTGAGCAGTGGCTTGGGGAAGAAAAGCTGGAGAGATCAATATGGACACCCTCGTTTGGCAACCATCAGGGCAGGATGTGGAACAGGGCTGGCTGTGGAGCAGAGCCTCTGCAGAGCACTGGGTGCCCTCAGGGACAGGAGGTCACTGCCCTCTACACAGATGTGGGACCTGTCCATCTCTGGGTCCCTGCTGCTCCTGCAGGCTGGGATCAAAGAAGAGATATCCTTCATCCTACCCATGTATGAAGCTATTGGCTGCTCCTGCCACGAGCACTGTGAGGTGGGGAATTATACTGCTGTGGAAATGTCTCATGTCGTGCAGCAGGACAGACCTTGGCATGCCACAAGGCTGGCTTGGCCTCGCTGGACTTCTGCAAACAAATGCCTGTTCCTCTGTTAACAGAACCCTGCTTGGGACAGTTTGTTTTGAGTCAGGTTCTGTTTTGGAGTCACTGGCCAGTTGCTATGTTCCCATGGCCACCTGCCTGCCTGGAAGAGGTTGCCCCAGCTCTGGCCGGACTCTTGGCTGCACCCAGCTCCTTTTTTCAGAGTATTTGTATCTTATACCAAATGTAGGCAAATGTGAAAATAGATCCAAGAGCTCCAATCCTGTAACTGCTCCGCAGCTCCTTCCAGGCACATTCCTGCTATGGGGTTAATGAGGGACACTCTCCCGTCCTTGCAGCCTTTCCTTCTCCCAGAGCACTTCAGCTGTGCAGGAGCTTCCCTGGTGGGGTTTGAGGGCTCATTGGCTCCCCCTCACTATCCCAGCCTGGAGCCAGCTGCCCCCCTGCATTAGGGATAACAGATATGGTTGTATTAATTTAGAAGGTGGAAGCATTTTGTGGTTTTGTTTCTGTGGCTGTAAAACAAATAAACCATAAAATCCCCACCCCAAACCGACCCCACAGCACAACCAGAGATGGGCACTTGGTGCTTCAGTGGAAAAATACAGGTTAAGCCAAAACAAATCGGAACTGAGTGTTCAGGCTACAACTAAGACTGAGCTGCAGCGCTATATTTAAACATGATATTTTTGTATTTTAATAATTAACCAGTGGGAAAGAACTGCCTAAAAAACTGTAGCATAGGCTATTTTCAAGGTATCTTCTCTTCAGCCCCAAGTCCATGCTGGAGTGCAGCTGAGGAAAGGCTGCAGAGGAATAGGGATGCTCTAAAGCAGTGGTTCTCTCTCCAGGTTTGTCCTTCCCCTCATTCTTCTCTGTGCAGCCTCCTGACAGTTAAATCAAGCTGGTCAGCCAGCTTGAAAAGAAACCCGTGTTTGAGGTGGTGTGTGAGTCTGTTTGAGGTGTTTGCTTTTCGTGGAGAGCCGAGGGCAGGGCAGGATTTCCCTGGGCATTAATGGTAATAGCTGGAACTGTGCGTAACCATGACCGGCACTTGGCAAGGGAGAGCTGTGAAAGGTAATCCTCTGCCACGTGATTGTTTAATTTCCATTCAGTTTTATATAGCACAAGGCAATTCCCTGCTTTTGAGGAAGAGGTTGTGGGTGTTTCAGTGCATCAGAGGCACCTGCAAGTCCTCAAGGCAGTTGGAACTGCAGAGCTGGCAGTGCTGGGGGCTGAGCCTGGACAGCATCAATTCTCTCTCAGATTGGGAGAGGGCAGCACAATGGAAACAAAGGGACTTCACCTCAGAGTTAATTTGAAATTTGAATCCAGCTAAAGATTCCCAGACAAGGTACAAGAGCAGATCCAGCTCAGAGATATACCTTGTCCTGAAGCTGATGGGCGCCAATCTGCAAAGTTTAATGTCCTTAAACTTTTGGCGCTTGAACTGAATTGACTTCAAGACCCAAATTGTGCAGCAATCGCTCAGGTTGCAGCAGTGTCTCAGAAATCCTCTGCAGCTTGGGCTTAGTGCCTGTCCATGGAAGGGAGTAGAGCAGCCAGTGCCAGGGCCCTGGGAATTCCCGGTACCTGGGAATGGAGCTGGTTCTGCACCATCCCTGTATTTCCCTCCAGTCTTGCGTGGCCATAATGGTACTTGAGGGCACTGTGAAATTCAAAGGTTTTGCTGGAGAGCATTTACTGCTTTAGGGGTCAAAACCATATGCTTTGGTGGTTCTTGTTGGAATGAATCCAGCAGGCCTCAGCTGTCTCCCAGTAGTTCCAGCAAAGGTCACATTCAGGTCCTGGCTCTGCCCAGGGGCCAAGGAGCAGAGAATGTTTTTGCCTTAGGGCAGGATCCGTGTGTCCATTGACTCCAAACCCCTCCTAACTGGAATTTCTTTTTAGATCATACTTCCCTTTTCTGCTATATGTGTTGGGATTCTGGTTGTTTATCCAGGATAATTTTGAAATCTCCCCGTAAATGGGCATTAACTGTATTTCAAGTCCAGTAGAGGTGCTCATCCTCGTGGTTTTCCAGGGGCAGAGGAAATCCTATCCTTAATAGCTCTGTTAGAGCTCACAGGACTGCCTGGTCCCTGGTAAGATTTAACACTGCGGGTGCCATGTCCGCTGCTCCCTGCAGGAGGAGGAGTTTCCTGTAGATCTGCTTTGACAGGAGCCTTGTAAGAGGTTTTTTGTTTCACCAAAACCCCTCTCTGGTGGAACTCAGCTCCAAGCTGTCCCCAAGTGTGCATAGCAGTCAGATCCAGCCTCTTGCAGCATCACACAGGGAGTGAGGCAGCCAGGGGTGAAGTCCAGGGAAACTTGGACTCCTTCCCCAACTATGTCCTTAAATGACCAGGAGAAAAAAAGTTGAGTAAGAATTGAGGTTTAATCCCCCACTCTATGGCCAGTCACTTTGCATTCAGCAGCAGCTACTCAGAAGTGCCTCACAGGGGTGTTTACTTGGGAGGTTTCCTTCTAGGAGTCTTATTGGAGGCACTTTGTTTGTTTGTTTGTTTTGTTTTGTTCCTGCTCAGTTATAGACTGAAGAGTGGGGTAAGCAACCAGCCCTGAGCTTCTCGAGTGTGTCACTCTTTGAGAGACAGTGGGGTTCAGTGCTGAGAGTATTGAAGTGTCTGAACTGACCAGCTGAGCTGCAGTTTGTCAGGTCTTTCCTCTTACAGACTAACCTGGGAATTGTCAGTTCTCCCTCTGCACCACTACACTGAAAGCCTTGATTTACAAATTCTGCTCAAGAATTACTTGAAAAGTTTCTCTTCTCATTTAAGGAGGTCTCCCAAAGGTTCACTGGGAATTGCAAGCTGCATGGATTTATTCTTTTGTGTGTGTGGCAAATGCAGCCATTTCTGTGCAGCTCTTAAGTGGATTCAGACCCATTCCAGCAGAGTTTGTACCTTTTCTTCCTCGTTGCCTGAGGTTTGCCTGGAGCTGTAGACTGTGAATTGCTTCCATCAGAGATGGAGCTGTCTCCTGCTCCCTCTCCCGGGTCCTTCAGGCATTTGTCCCATGGTGCTGCTATCCCAAATCATCTGTTTTCAAACCCTTTGAAAGCACCTGCTCCAGTGGGAGCACAGCTCCTTGCATAGGATTGGGAAATGTGGTGGTTTAAAAGATAAATTAAGCCAAAACAAAAATTCCCAACAAAACAGTGTGGGGAAGCGAAGTTCTCAGTCTGCTTGCTGGGAAGGAGTGGGTGACAAGCATTGCTGCTGGTGTAGGGGGCTGTGTGCCCTACAGGGTGAGTGAAGAGTTTGGGGCTCCTTCCTGACCCCCAGGCTGTGCTCCAGAGGGATGGATTTGTTGAAGCTTTTTATTTCCGGGCACTGGCAAGCTGTGGAAGGGAATGCTCTGCGGAGCCTCAACCTCTACATATCCCTTCTGAGCCATCCATCCCAACAAAGACTTACCCAGGCAAGGTGTTCAGGGTACCTCTTGTGGTTCAGAGATACCTTAACATCCTTTCCTGGATTTCTTTAGCTGTCACGTGGGAGGTGAAATCCTGGGCTGCTTTTGCCTTTTCCTTAGGCTTTATGAATAATGCAACACGTGCTTTTATTTTATTTCCAGATTGAAAAGATCATGAGTTCCATCGGTGAAGGCATTGACTTTTCCCAGGAGCAGCACAGGATCTCAGGTAGTATACCCGGCATGTGTGTCCGTCTGTCCTGGCTGTGCTCTGCACACAAACAAGGTGCTGGCTCCTGTGTGTGGATATCTTTAATCTGTTTTGGCTCTGGGAGGGAGAGGAATGCTCTGGCACAGGAGGAGCAGACCTGGGTTCCCACATGATGCTCAATGCTGCTGCCAGCAATTTTAATTCTACACTCCTTGGGAAGATTCCTTTAATTTTACTGAATGCAGCTGCAGGATTTTCCTCCTAGCTCTTTCCATGAGGGCAGCAGCTGTGCAGAGCAGGGCTGGATGGTGCCAGTGGTGGGTCAGTATGTGTGCCATGGTGGTTTTTTTTTGCATGTGGTTAATCTGCCAGGTGCCTCTGGGAGGCTCCTGGGCATTTCTAGGTGCTATCGGTACCCACTGAACAAGGATCTTGGAGGACACTTAAAATGTGAATTCCCTTCTGTGCCTTTGAATCGTGTGCAAAAGCAGAACTCAAGCTTGCTGGAGAGCTGCCATGACAAGGGATTCTGTCCTTTTAAATCCTTCACCTCCAGGCTGCTGTAGCAGAACAGCTCTGACTCGGGGTGGGCAGCAGCTCCTCCTGATGAGATGCTAATGCAGATCCGCACACGCAGCTCACACGGGCTGTGACAGAGCTCACCTCATACCCATTTGTCACTCAGGTTTTTTCTTAGGTGAGGAGGAACCCACTGTTCCCAGTGGGAGTTTAGCCTGATTTGAGCTCTGCATTCCAGGGTCAGGTGGCTTTGCAGAGGAGTTGGAGCTCAGTGTGGGTTTGTGCTCCCTGCTCTGACAGCCTCCCTGCGCCAGTCCTGGCTGTGATGGATCAATAGCACTAGGGAAAGGTCTGACATGGAGGGAAGAGGAAGAGCCAGTGCTTCTGCAGAGCTGCAGCTGTGCAGGGAGCACTCAGCAAGATGGACACCCTGGAGCAGGTGGGCACGGGAGCTGCTGTGTCCTGGAGCCAGAGGTTTTCCCACAGGCAGTGCTCTGTCACACTCAGTTTGGGATCCCTCATGCGCAGATCTCCTGCTGGGCACATTCCCTGTTTGTCCCTCTTTTCTCTGGAGCAGGCAGAGCTCTGACAGCTCCTCCCTGGGAGCTCCCACACATTCGGCTTTTCCTCCACAGGGCTTTGTGGGACTGTTGTGCTTCAGGTCATGGTGAATGTGCACGGAACTGCAGGAAGCTCTCCAAATGTTCTCGCATACTTAAAATGAGTGAGGCTTGAGGATATTGGGACTTGTGACTAGCTTGGTGTCTGGAAAGGTGAAATGCTTTATTGGGAGTTCCTGTGGGGATAAGAGTGTTTGGAGCTGCTTGTATGAGCAGTTACTCTGTACAACTGCCTTGTGTCTGGGTAATGGCTTGGCAAGGCCTTCTTGGAGCACCATCATTTTAGGGATATCAAACTCCACCTGCCCTTTTTCTTAAGAGAGTTTGGCCTTGGAAGAGATGTTTGTGTCTCTGCACCAAATTTCCATGAGTAGGTGGGGTGATGTTGGTCCAGCACAGCCCATGCACTGATTTCATCCTCCAGAAAAATGCAAACTTCACAATAAAGATTGTTACTGAAACAATAAAACCTGAAGGCTCCTCCTGAACCCTGGCAGCCTCTTCCTCTCTGTGCTGTGGGACCTGAGAAGAGCCTTGCAGGAGGCACCACAGATTTGGGAATGCTGTGATGTCACAAGTCAGAAGTTGTGATCAGGGTCTTGCCAGGGGGCACAAAGTACTGTGATTCTTCTGTTCTTGTATCATCCTTGTATCACATAAATATCAGGTGTATTTGGGGCATCTTACTTTTCAGCCTGGGATGTTTTAGGTGTCTGTTCTTCTCTTTGTAAAGGAAATCCCTCCATTCCCTCCCTCCAAATACTTCCCTCTCTTAATTTTGTCATGACTTGAAAGCGTTTTGCAAACCTGCACTTGGTGTCACTGTGGGTTTCCCTTTCAAAAGCAGAAATGTATTTACAAGTGCATGCAAGGCTGAATAGAGTAAGTAATTTTAAAAATTAAGTTGAGGAGCTCAGGAGAAGGAGCTGCTGTGGTTTCATTCTCCCTGCCAATACCCCAACAGCTCCCAGGAATGCTGTGGTAGGCAGCAAGCACTTCCTTACCTCTCTCTTGATAAATTAATTCTGAGCCAGCCACAAATCACTTGGATCTGTCAAAGCAGACCTGTGACATCATTTTTTAAAATCCCCAAGCCATGTTGTCCATCATCGAGTAAATATTGCGGAGTCAGTGATTTCCACTGGAGAGTTACGGAGCCGCTGCCTCCCTCCAGCAGGTGGGAGTGCTGGGAGGGGGGAGAGGATGAGGAGAAGGGAGGGACAGCGTGGGGCTCGCGGCTCAGACAAAGCCGCTGCAGCCGCCGGCAGAACACAAGCACTGGCAAGGGGAAAGGATGGAGGGGAGGATGGAGAGCTGGTGTGCAGGAGCTCCTGGCACACAGTCTGGGCTTAGCTGCTGCCCCGGAGCATGGGCTGGCTCAGGGGAGGGAGGCAGAAGCCTTTTGTGATCTCGGCATTGCTGCGTACGCTGGAAGGACCGGCCAGTGCTCCCAAATACCGGCACAGGAGCAACCCCTGGGACCAGACAGCAGGAACTACCCCAGGAATCTGCAGGTGACACCGTGAGCTCTGTGTGTGCGGCCATTGCAGCACAGTGGGGAGGGATGGCTGGAAGGTACCAAACTGCTTCAGCTGACCTGAAGGTTCAAAGGAAGCAAACGGGGGTCTTCTGATCATCCTTTTCTTTGTATCCATGCTGGAAACAGACATGCCGAGGAGCCTGGAAATCTGCCTGTCTTGCATAGCAAATTCCCTGATGATAAGGAGATCTCTGAACTTTTTTTTGGTCATACTTAATGTATTGAGCTTTACTAGAGGAGAGTAACAAGTCACTGGACTCATCCCAGGGGTGAGGGAAGGGAGAGCTCATCTTCCAGGGCTTCCATAGGTGTTGGGAGGAATCTCCTTTATCAGAGGCTGAAGAGGAGGTGCCAGGGCATAGCTCGGACTTGAGCTGCTGCGGGAAGAGAAGAGAGTGTGCTTGCATTTGCTTTTTTCCTTTTGCCATGGCTCAGAAGCAGGGAACCGAGATGCCTCCATCCTGCAGAGCTACTCCCCATCTGAGCGAGGGGCTACATGCGGCAGCTGCGCTCGGCCGAAGGAAATGAAGGAAGGGCAAATCCAGGTGTGTGCCCAACACCTGGCAGGACCAGCAGTGTTGGGTGAGAACCATCCTGGCTGTGCTGTCACACAGTGCAGAGCTGGGGCTGGGCTCTCTGGGGCCAGCATGCTGGAACGCCAAGCGACGGGATCGCTGGTAGAATGACAGAGCCAGGGCTGCTGACCGTGTGCCTGGGGTCTCCATAACGCAATAACGGCGAGACAAAGCCCCTGCCATGGTTTGCTTCTCTCAGGACTATTGGGGAGGAAGAGCACAAGCCCTTACTCTCCGCTGCTGCAGTCTGTGCTTCCTTTGTCTTGCGTGTCTTCCCGCGGACAGCCACTCTGCCTGGGCTCTTGCTGCCTTCCCGAGCATCCGCCGCGTCCGAAGCTGTTTTCTCTCAGGCTGCTCCATGCTCCCTGCTGAGCCAGGGCTGTGTCCGGAGGTGCGCGGATGAGAGGACTGGCAGAGCTCCTCTCCCTTCCCTCGCACCTGCGACTGCCTGGGAATGCCTTGGGTGGAAGTTTGCCGCTCTCCTTCCGCCCCCTTCAGCTGAGCCAAGGAGTGGATCCGCATCCCCGTGGGGTTGGGCTTCATGTGCTTGCCTGGCGAGGAACTCGTGAGCCCTGACAGCAGTGCCTGTGATCTCAGCACCCCAGCAGCACCTCTGAATCTTTGCCCGGGCGAGGAGTTTTTTTGCTGAGTGTGAACTGCAGTACAGATTGGTGCCTGGAGCCCACGGAGGCACTGAGAGCTTGTTGTCCATGCTCTGTGCACACAAGAGGAATTGTCTGCCCACTGATTTGTTGTACTCTGAGCATAATTTTTTGAGTTTCTTTATGGTAATGACTATGATGTGGCAATGCCATCTGTCCTCCTCAGAGTGCCGCTGCTACCGCCTGAACGGTTTCTCTCTGTTCAAGCGGCTGCCGATTCCTCTCTCGTCAGGTTCGCGGATGCTGGAGCAGAGCGTCGGGGAGTGGCTGGAGTCCATCGGCCTGCAGCAGTACGAGAGCAAGCTGCTCCTGAATGGCTTCGATGATGTTCGCTTCCTGGTGAGTGCACAGGCAGGGACCCCGAGCTCTGAGGAACAGGCTGGCCAAAGCTTCCCGCGTTTCCCCGTGTGGGCGCCGGGCAGAGCCGGGTTCTGCAGCCCAGCACAACAGTCTTGGAGGGTGTAGAGCAAAAGGAATAGAAGAGGGTTATGTTGGATCTTCACGTTTAATTCAGGTGTTACTTGTTTTCTTGCTAAAATTTTGATGGAAAATTTTATTTAATCTGCCCCCTAAATCTTTACTATCCAACTTACTCCAGAAATGGGAACTGAAATTTGCTGGTGTTTTGATGGAACCCCTGAGCAGTCTGTGCTCTGGGCTGTGAAGGAGGCAGCAGACCTCTTGTTGGAGCTGTACTTGCTCAGAGCATGCAGGCAGTATGTTAATGAGCTGTACCTAATTGCACTGACACTGTTGGCTCTTAAACCTAATGATGACAACATGGTAATGCTCAGGGTTGAGGGGTTTTAATAACCAGCATCTAGAAACTTAAAGCAGCATGGTGTAAAAATCCGAGAATTCGTGTGGAATGATGGATGAACTGCAAAGAGGGAAAATCTTGGTGCTGCAGGAGGGGTTCTCCCTGCACGGCTTAAAAAAATGCTTTTGAATGTGGACTCTAAGTTTGGCAAATAACAAAAAATGGATGTAAACCTTGGAAAAGTCATTTTGGCTAATGCAGTATTTGGAATGGGAGCAGTGACATTTCTGGTGCTGGGGGCATTGCAGAGAGGTGACACCAGGAGGATGTGAGCTGGGTGAGGGGTCTGGGAACACACAGTGGCCATCACTGGTGGGGAGGGTACAAGGGGCAGCTGGAGAGACACTGGAAGCCAGGTAAGGGATGGAGGCTCAAAGAAGTGCACACCTGAGCAGCATCTGTTGGGCTACTTAAAGGCAGGGTGTAATTATACTTTAAAAAATGACCTGGCCAAGAGGATAAGTGTTGTGGGATCTATCTAGCTGTGCCTCCTGATCTCCACAGAAAGCAGACAGGCCATTTGCTTTCCCTTCCCCTGGCAGGGCCAAAACTCTCCTCCAGAGCTGGGGTTTGCTGTGGTTTTCACCCCGAGTCCCATCCTGGCAGTCCCAAACCACAAAGTGGACTCTTGGGAAGGGATGTGTGAGGGTTCAGCATCCCTGTGTGTGCTGGGACTCTTTGGAGATGGTACAACAAACTTAAATGAAATAACCTTGTGGATCCTCTTGGGATCCCCTGCTGATGGATCTGTGATCATGGTGGGGTCAGTGGCTGCTCTCAGCCAGCAGCTGCAGATAAAACACCTTTCCCTTGCCTGCCTGGGTGTGATGGACCTCACTCAGCTCAGAACTCCAGTAGTAAAGGTTCCTGTGTGTGTCCCTCTATGTGTTGGTGTTTGGTACATGGTAGGATTGTCTGTCTTCATAGCTGGACAGTTTTCTTCCCTGTCCAGTGCTGGGTGGCTGCTCCCAGTGCAGAAGTTGGCTGCTGCTGGATCCAGGGGATGGCACACTCATTTACTCATCCCTCTCAAATTTAAAAGCTCAAATAATTTCACAAAGATTTCCTGCAAACTCCAGCTGATTTCCATTATGCTGCTTATCTCCTTTCCTTGGGAGTTGACCCTGGCACCCATGCCAGCCCTGAGTTTAAATCCATTCATCCCAGCCCTGAGAACTCCAAGCTAATACATCAACCCAGCAGGAAAGTTGAATTATTTAGAATCTTTCCTTCTGTGGTGTTCCTTGCCTTCAGCTTCTGGTGTTGGGGGAGCAAAACCTTCAGACAGAACACAAGTGAGGAACAAGTAGTTAATTTGGTTCTAGTGGTGTTTTTGATGTTCTTGGATGAATTATTAAAACTGTTGTGAACACTGAAGCTGGGCAGAGCAGGGGCTCAGGACAGCAAGCTCTGAGTGCTGGGTTGCCCAGTCCTTTGCACAACCATTGCTTTATTGGCTGCCCCTTTCAGTCTCTAACGGAGAATATTCCAAACTAAGAGCATTACTTTCCTGGAATTAAACAGTTTCTATGAAAGGATTAGTCTCTCTTAGGGCCTTACTGTGTTCAGTATTTTGAGGTCCAAAGAATGCCAGGTAATGGTTTGCAAATCGCCAGGTGGGTTATGAGGTTAATTAAGTTTTAGTAGCCCAAACTAGGAAATTTGAGTCCTTTGATATTAAAACACATGTTTTCTGTGCAGGATTTTGCATTGCATTGCTCCCTGCTCAGAAAGCTGCAGGGTGTTCTGGCGTGCCAGGATGGTCCCTTTGCTCTGGGGTCCCCAGGTATCTTTTGGGGGCAAACCAGGAGTTTTGCAGAAGTGTGTTCATTGTGCAGAGATTGCGTGGCTACGGAACAGGGCAGTGTCCTAAAAGAGCCCTCTAATTACTAAGGAAGATCCTCATCCTGTAGATACTTAGAGGAGGGTTAAGAACAGTCCAACAAGGAGTGTGTCCTGTCACTGCAGCAAAGACCTGTGAGAGCTGTGTCTGCAGGCACCGGGGTGCTTGGTGCTGTTCTTCACTGCAGAACCAGAGTTCAAAGTGCCCTGTCTGCCCCAGGTGTGGGACAGGGTTGTGAGAGACACAAACTGGGGGTGCCAGGCTTGCTGGTGCTCTGGTGGCTTGTACTGCAGCCGGGTCTGGTTTCAGGAATTTTTGATTCCCTGGGTATTTTCAATTGGCTCCTGAGTTAATCTATGCCCCATGTCACAAGGGCCTTTACCCCCAGGTAGGGAAATGATTCATGAGCACATTGTGTGTAAAGGGAGTTTGAAAAGCGCTCTGTAAATATATTTGGTTACTTAATTAGATGTTAATATAGGAAAGCAGAAACATGTGTTGTTTCCAAAAATAATAATTCTGTTATTTTCAGAACTCCAGGAACTGGGGATTAGGGGATTAGCTGTGCTCTGGCCACGTGGCGGCTGCCTCAGTGGACAGGCTGCAGCTGGAGTGGGCAGCAGGGAGGGGGTGAGAGTCCTGCTCCTCTCAGGGTCTGCTGACCAACAGCTGGGAGAGGCTCGGGGGACTCACAGCTCCTGCAGGTGACAACAGGAGCCACGTATGTCTCACAGGCTGTGCTGCAGAAGGGAAAGGTGCTCTGGAACCTCCTCTTTGCTCCTGGGAGTTCCAGCTCTGCATCTGGGACAAAGCTGATCCTGATGAAGCACTGGCTTTGCTTGAGGGTGGGTATCACTGGCACAAGTCAGCAGGATTATTGGGACATGGATGTGACGTGACGTTGGAGCGCCCTCGTCCGTGCACGTGTTCCTGGGAAGGGACCAAGGTCTACACAGATCTTGGATTGTGTAATCTTCTCTCTTGGCTGAGGGAAGAAAGGGGTGATAAGAGATGGATTTAGGTAGCTTAGCTTTCCAAAACACTGGAGTTCTCTTCCCACATCTGCATATTGGGCCACATCTCTGTGTCTGCAGAAATTCTGCTACTCCCTTCAAGTTGCCTACAGTAGCCACACCATGTTTATGGACAAGGCAGGGAGCAGGCTTTCCCTGTTATTTTGCTGCTCTTGAGCACAAACCCCACTTTCCATGACAGCAGCTTCTTTCCCTCACCCTCTGCATTGGCAGCCAAGTGACCTTCATGGCCAGCACCACTCTCACGGGGCAGTCGGACTGGGACACTCAGCTGCTGCTTTTCATATAGAGCTGGAATTGGGCAGGAGCCTGTGCAGGCAGCTGGGATTAGGAACAGCTCAAGTGGAGATAGTGCTTCCAATCCTCCTTCTCTGCTCCACAGCCTTCTGGGATTCCTTCATCAGAGGGAAAAGTTTATTTGTGCGGTGGGTGAACACAACTGAGGCGAAGCAGCTGGCAGTGGCTGTACTGTCCTTGACTTAGCAAAAATACAGCTCTATAAGTAGGGTAAAACCCTCAGCAGCATTGCCTGCCAAATGTGAACAGCTCCAGTGAACCAGGAATGCCTACCCCACCACCCAGGAGGTGCTTCCCACGTGGAGGAACGTGGCCCCGTAGCGTGCGCCGAGTTCCAGGAGCCTCATTGCCTCATCCCTCACCAGAGGAGGGGAATGAAAGGTCAGATCACAAAACTGCAGCAATGAGTGAGAAGTGTCATCCAGAAAAGTGCACAATAAATGGACTTAATTGTCCTTGGCAGGCAGTGAGCTGGGGAGCTGGGAGAGCAGGAAAAATGTCACTGGAGTATGGACCAAGAGGGATTCTGCTGCTCCTGGAGCGTGGCCCCATCATGTCTGCTGTGCTCACCAGTGCATCTGCCACAGATGCCCCTTTTGGGAAGTCCATAGGAAATGGATTTTGGGATGCCCAGTGCATTCCTGGTCCCTGCAGCCAACAGGGGTTAACCCAGGGAAACAGCAGACTGGACTTTGCTCATCTGGAGAGGACAAGGACGTGGCCATTGTAATGAGAAGGAGTTGTAATAATTGATGGTGGAATTCCTCTACAGCAGTGGGGAAGGAAATGCCATTTACCTGTTCCCTCACACAGTGTTTTGTGATCCCACAGATCCCATAAATGTGTCTGAGATGCTTGCAAAAGCTTTCCCCTTCCCCTGGAGGGCAGGATCTTGCTGCTGCCCCGACAGCTTCCTCTGGGCTGACATCTGAGAAGGGCAAACCCCACGTGCTCTGGCAGTTGTACCAGTGTTCTGGAGCTGAACTTTTTATTCAGTTCAAAGATATTTTGAATCACAAATGAGCAGGTAAAATAGAACATAAACCAATTTTTATGGCTTTTTTTTGTTGTTGTTCAAGCCTGGATTCCCATGGAGTGTGTGGAAAGCAGCTAATGCTGATTCAATGAGACAGCATCAGAAAGGGAAATCTGTTCTCTGCATGTAGTGCCCTGGGCTCCTCTGGGGCATTTTATTTATTTTTTTATAATTAGGGAGAAGTGGTAGAAAAATCATGGTGGTGGAAGAATGGGGTGTCTGTAAATAGTTGAGAGCACTGACATTAATTTTATTAAATGCAATTAATTTGATTATATGCAATTCAAGGTCATGTTAGCCTGCGGTGTT